ATTGTGTACAGACTTTCAGATTTTGTTACTGCATTACATTAATGAGATTTTTTCCCCCTAATTTGAGAGAATATGCTGGTCCATAATAGGCTTCATTTTTTGTATGCATCTAATTTCTCTCTTTTTGTTTCCATTTTGTGGTGAAATACATCCCTAGCATCTGAGATTCACCCTTTGGTGTAGTGCTTGCTGTTTCACTATTGTGCTCATTGAGTACTTGAGTGCTGCTGGGTCCTTCAGCCGTTACTCTAAAATCTGTAGGGCCTAATTAACTCATGATGCATTCATTAATGTCAGTGAGTACAGTAGGGAACAAACGGCACAGATTCAGGTCTGATGCTTTGCTGTACTGTAATGTATTGCAGTTTGGTATTAATAACCATCTTATTATTGCTAACATTTCTATATGTCTTTAATTCTATTACGAGTAAGATACGAGTTTTATTTCTCTGTGTTTATGTGTATAGGCCAGCTGGTGGTGTGTACCTTGTGCTCCTGTGTGATGCAGACCAAGCGCATTTGGCTGTTCTCAGCTCACTTGCTCCCTCTGGTGGCCAGGCTGTGCCTGGTCCCTTTGGAGACCATCGTTTTCGTCAATCGCTTTGCCATGATTTTCACAGGCCTGGAAGTCATCTACTTTTTGGCCTCCAACCTGCTGGTGCCATTTAATTTGGCCAAGACAGCGTACCGGGAGTTTGCACAGGTTAGAGGCTAAAGAGTGAGTTTTAGAACGGACTTGAGAGTGTTAAATCAAAGAAACAAGAATTAAGCTCTTCTCCATACTTTTCTGTTAGGTGGTGGAGGTTTATGGGTTGCTGGCTCTCGGTATGGCTCTGTGGAATCAGTTGGTTCTGCCCGTGTTGTTCATGTGTTTCTGGCTGGTTCTGTTTGCTCTACAAATCTACACATACTTCAGCACACGGGACCAGCCCACATCTAGAGAGAGGCTGCTCTTCCTTTTTCTCACCAGGTGAGTTGAAGTTGCTCTGCTTGTCAATCCTGAGCATATAATTAAAGATGGTAATAGAGAAATAGAATAAGATAGGTGTCACTGATTTTTTTCCCCCAGTAAAATATTTGATGAACTGTATGTAAATGTTAAATGTTTGATTGATTTTGGTCACATGAAGGTGCACAGCAACTTAATTTCTAAATGTAAATGGTCTCCAGTATTGCAGAGTGCTGTTGTACTCCGTACTCTCTGCTGGGCCTGGTCTTCACCGTTTCATTCGTTGCTTTGGGAGTGCTCACTCTTTGCAAGTTCTACCTGCAGGGCTATAGGGCTTTCATGAATGACAACACCATGCACAGGTATCATATACCCACCCTCATGTCACTCAAAAAGATTGTTTTCTTATGAAACACAAAAGAATATTGCCATTTTGTTTGGTTAATTAATAAAATTATTATTATTATTTTTTTTAATGTTTTATTTACTTTTATTTATTTTATGTTATTTTAGGTTATTTTTAATGTTTCTGAAGAAAGAGTTAAATGCATTTATTTGATTAACAATTACTGTAAAAACAGTATTTCTATTTTAAT